GTACAATTTCCCAGAGAAGCTGTGGATGCTCCATCCCTGGAGGTGTTCAAGGCTGGGTTGGGTGGGACCCTGGGCAGCCTGAGCTGGTGGGTGGCAAACCTGTCCATGGCAGGGGAGTTGGAACTGGATAGTATTTAATATTCCTTTCAACCTAAGACATTCTGTGATTTTATGGTCCTATGATTTTCATGTTTCATTTATGCCTTGTGCTCCTGATAGTGTAATCTGACATTATTTAAAGTAAAAATTAAAAAAATTAAAAAAAAAAAAAAAAAAGCCAAGGATCTAATACCAAGGCTTTGTTCATTCCTCTGGTACCCAGTGGAACCAGAAAGTAAAGTGAAGTGATGTAGCTATTACCATTCTACTTGTGCATGGTCTCTGTAGCACTATTGCTGAGTACCTCTTCCTTTTCAGTCATTGAAATTCTCTAAAATATATTGCCTTTCACCCGTGGCTGTGTTATCGTCTAATGTGAAAATCTGGGTTAGGGACTGTGTTAGACAGTTGTTTGTAAGCCCTGATGAAATAAAAGGAAACACAGCTCCATCATTTCTCAAAGGTCTCCTTATACTAAAGTTCCCAGGCAAATATGGGTCTCAGGTAGTGATGCCTACTGTCCTTAAAAAGGACTGTTGCTTAACATTTACTCCAGTTTTCTTCAGCAGTTACAGATAGCAGAAGGAAGCAAAATTGAAAATGCAGTTATGGAAATAATTTAACTGATGAGATTGGAACATCCTAATGACTTATATGCCAAGCAGATTGCACAGAGCTTAAGAACTGTCCAATCCTATTGCTAGCAAACAGCATGGATGCACATGACTTCAGTGGCTTTGAGGGATCATTCATCATCAAGTCTCTACTACAGCAAGATATTGCCAGTTCAGAGTGTCTCCTTGACAGAAATCAGAGGTTGAGATATATGCAAGTGTCATTATCAGTTGAATTTGCCAAGGTGAAATGCTATTGAACCTTCTCAAGCCATTTTCATAGACATGATTCCTGGTGGTTTAAGGGACATAGCAAGTATCACAAATACACCTCCTGACAAGAAAATTTACTGAGCAAAAGCTAATTACTGCAAGATTAGTCTTTCCTTGTTGAATTTACCAAAACTTAGGTATTTGAAACTGTGGAATACAGAGCTAAACACAGGTCAATATGGTCTTAGCTCAAGCTCTCACCAGTGATTGAGATCTTCCAGCAGTTTCCATGTACCACGTGTTTTCCTTGGAGTGCACATGGTCTGTGAGCAGTGCAGACATAACTCAGAGCTGTATGGGTAGGTGAGGTTTTGCTACGAAGGGGTTTGGGAGAGTTTCAAGCTTCTCTCTCACCACCTTATGCTTTGTGCTGGAGGATGTAGGGGGGTGTATGTGCACGTGTATATCTGCTGTGTCACAGAATCACAGAATAATAAAATCACAGAATGGCCAGGGTTGGAAGGGACCTCAAGGATCATGAATCTCCAACCCACCTGCCATAAACAGGGCCACCAACCTCCACATTTAATACTAGACCAGGCTGTCCAGGGCCCCATCCAATCTGGCCTTGAACACCTCCAGGGACGGGGCATCCACAACCTCTCTGGGCAGCCTGTTCCAGCACCTCACCACTCTCTCTGTAAAGAATTTCCCCCTGACATCCAACCTAAATCTCCCCTCCCTCAACTTAAAACCATTTCCCCTTGTCCTGCTATTATCAACCTTTTCAAAGAGTTGATTCCCTTCCTGTTTGTAGGCTCCCTTTAGGTACTGAAAGGCTGCAATGAGGTCACCCCCACAGCCTTCTCTTCTCCAGGCTGAACAAGCCCAGCTCCCTCAGCCTGTCTTCACAGGGGAGGTGCTCCAGTCCCCTGATCATCTTTGTGGCTCTCCTCTCCTGTGTCTTCTTCTAGCAATCAGCATCATAGGATTATCATAGAGTAGTTTGAGTTTGAAGGGTCATCTAGTCCAATAAAGGTGCTATCAGGTCTCTGATGGATGTCAGCCACGGTAAATGCCAGCCTGCTTGCTACTGTGCCTGTTAGCTGAGAAGTTTGTGCATTTAGGACAACGTAACTGTCAGAAAGCTTCTCAAGAACAAGGAGAAATCTGCAGAAGTTACTGGGATGATGGTGATGTTTTTATGGAATAGACTATGGACACGTCTGTCTTCACTTCTTATGAGTGAAAAAAGCTTGAGTATGGTCATGCAGCCAGGTATACGCTGCCATTCATTAATGCTTGCTGAACATTGAAGACCAAAAACTGCATGTGAGTGTAGTGAGGTGGTGGGTAGTGTGTTACAGCAATGGTGACAATTGCTCCAAACAAAAACCTCCACTAAATGCAGATTTTTGCAAGCACAGCATGTCGGCTCTTATTCATTGCTAGTGAAAATAGATAGTTGGATAGAATGGTGGTGACTGATGAAAAAATCTTGTTTTGTAGCAGAGAATTTTCTCTATCAAACAGTGTAATTCTCTATTTATATGTAGGAGTTTCCATGGAAATAAATTGAAGGCATTACTTTTGGAGTGACCCACATAGATCTGTTCTTAAACTAAGCAATTTTTGGCACTGTATTTTATCTGCATGTCTTTGATTTTGACCTTCCCAGCAAGAGAAATGACTCTTTATGCCACCTTGCATCTCTGACTCCTAAAGCAATTACACACTAGCAGTGGTCTGTGCAGAAGTGCATTTGAAAAGTAAATGACATTAAACTTTCCATCTTAGAAGAGTAGCGGTATATCAATATCCAAATCAAATAACATAAAGCTCCCTTTGTCTGCCAGATAGGAATAAGAATGCATTATAACCCTAATATGATTTTTGCAGTGTCTCTAATATGATGAGGTTTAAATTAAAATAAATACGACTGCATGCTTTGAAGGGCTAATCAGGCTGAATGTTCTAGCCTAATGGGTGTAACACCAGGAAATAAATGTGTATTTCTCTAGGCTGCTTGGACTTAAGCAGAAGTACTTGGAAGGATATGTGGTGGGAAGGCAATAGCAAGGTGAAACACTTCATTACATGGGTGTTCTTGGTGAAAGTCGTTAATAGGAAAATGATTTTAATGCAGTTTGGGTTGACATCCCTGTGGTCCTGCTAATTGATTAGCAGAAGTCTTATTGCTTTTAATGAACTCTTTCCCACTGACTCTTTTCATTAACTTATTTATTTATTTATTTATCTATCTATCTATCTATCTATCTATTTATTTATTTATTTATTTAGAGAAGGTACTTCGTTGTCTGCAGTATTCCAGTTCCAGCAGACAGGCATCACAAAACCTAATGATTACAATTGATTATAATGTCAAGGCTCCATTCACTTATCTGTTGTGACATTTAGTACTTTTCCCTTCTTTCTTTCTTTCTTTCTTTCTTTCTTTCTTTCTTTCTTTCTTTCTTTCTTTCTTTCTTTCTTTCCCTTCTTTCTTTCTTTCTTTCTTTCTTTCTTTCTTTCTTTCTTTCTTTCTTTCTTTCTTTCTTTCTTTCTTTCTGCCTTTCTGCCTTTCTATTTTTTTCACCTTAAAGAAACTTTACCCTTGGAAATTTTTAGTCCTTTGTCAGTATCAACTCAACATCTTCTGATTGCAAATTATGTATAATATTTGCATGTGAAGCAAAGCAGTAGCTTTAGCAAAGCAGAATTGACCAGTCCTGATTTGAAACTCCTGACAAACCAGCGGTCCCTAATACTTTCTGACCTGGGCTTTTATCCTACCCCAGATCGTGGGCTCAAAACTATGGACCCAAATATCCAAAAGTTACTTTTCTGAGATACTGTTATTCTTTTTAAAAAGCTTGCTGGCTTCCTGGCAAGATCTGTCTCTCCTTGAGCTACTGATTCTGGTACATCTTTTTTAAACACATCTTGTCTGGTGTGTTACAAATTACCACTCGCTAAAGAATTAAATTTCAAAAGCTCAGGTTCATCCAGCACTGAAAGCTGTAAAACGATGGGAGTGACTGAAAGTAAATTTTGCAAGTTGTTGCTCAGTGTCAATGGAAGTAGCATTAACAAGTGATTCAGGTTAACTGCCAAGACTGAATTGGAAAGAACCTCACTCTGGTACTCAGCTGCTCTTTAGGTAAGCACACAAATATCACAGACTCCTGTGGATGGAACTCATCATGGCAAATGTTGTTACCTTCTTGAAAATTTGAATTTTTCTCATTATAAATCTTTCATCCTTTTTTGTCATATGACTCGTGTCTTAAAACCCATGGGTTCTTCTGTAGCCAGAAAAAACTGCATACAGTGGAGGAATTCAAAGTTAGGAAGGGCTAGTTCTACCTGTGTATATATGAAACTTATTTGTTCTCATGTGACATAACAGCACACAGGTGAAAACTTTGACTTTCTGAAAGCTATGGGAAGAAGCTTAGGCTTTTGTTCTTGATTTCCTTCATTCAGTCTATTTTGTGTGGGCCAACTTGGCATCTCTCACATGGGCCAATGGCCTGCAGGATTACACAGGACTTTCATCAACTTGGATAAAATGTACTTCTTTTTCTATAATTTCAACCAAGGTGCTTCTGCACTTTGGGGTTCCTCATTTGAAATGTGCTATTAGCTATTGTTTTCCCTCCCAGGTAGTGACTTCTAGAAGCACCAGAGGTAACAAGAAAATTCCCTTTTCTGACATATGCTCACTGTAGACAAAAGTTGAAGAATTTCAGGAGAGCACCCATAGCTTCTGAAGATCCCCTGGGGAACATATGATGCTTTAGGTTTCATTAGAAATAAAGTTAGGGTAACTGCTGACACAGGTTTAGCTATTCTCACTTTGAAATCCAACCTGTTTGGTTCTGTTTAATATTTTTTTTTCTTTGAATACTGTGCTTGGAAACCTGCAACAACCTGCTCCATTAATTATTGAGACTGCAAGTGTTTAATTACGAGTTATAATAAAACTGGCCTAAATAATCATGAAGTGAAAGCATAAGACAGAAAAGTCTCCCTGCAGAAATCACACCAGCAGTCTGTCTGTGTTTTGTGCAGATGATTCCAGCCTTTGCTCAGCCTGTGTGCATGAAAACAACGTTTACAGCAGAATATTTCAGATTTTGTACAGGAATGAAGAGATCATTCTTAATGAATCGATGAACTTCAGAGTACATCTGCTTCTGGATGGCGAAAGGGTGAGTTGTCTTGGGATGTCCATAAAAAACAGGAGGGTTGGGATTCCTCATACCTGACTTTAAGTGTCCATCACATAAATGCCTCCACTTGAGATGTTACCATGGAACCTATATGCTGTCACAGGTCTCATCAGTATAAGTGATAGAGGTGAGTACATGAGTTATCTGACCTACTGTCAGCATCTGGATTAGGAGAATCTGTACTCATCATATATATATGCTAATGAAGGTGCTTGGGATAATTTGTTTAGATGCAAGTGCCTACACTGTTAACATCTATATTAGGATAGATAGAACCTGGGCTCCATGCCTATTACCAAATATAGTATACACCATGGCTTTCTAGTGGAATAATATGTTGATATCCTGCAGTGTGTCAGTGAATCAGAAACTCAAACTCAAGTGTGTCAACTATAATTTGTCATTTGTGCATTAGATTGCCCATTCTACGTCTGCATAGATCAATTTCACCTGACAAAGTCAACAGTCTTCTTCATCTTGCTTCTCCCCTTATCATATTTTACTATTACCTTCTCCTCTTTCCTTTTGACTGTTCTTTTGCCTAGCAGCCACAAGATTGTGACCAAGTTGCCCAATTGCTTTCCATCAAAGGCCTCTTAGCTTTTCTTATCACTGCCCCAGACAGCAGGAATGTGTGTTGCTACAGCTTACTGTCCCTATTGCTTTCCTGTTGTGTCAACTCCCTCAAGCCAAGCACCCACACAAATTAAGTACATGATCTGAAGCACTCATCCTGTGAGGGATACCTGACTTCCTCTTATTGATCAGAAACCAATGTCTTCCAGTGTTTTTCCCTGTATCTTAGAGTTACAAGACAGGAGTAATGTTAGAGTACAGAGAGTACAATTTTTCCAGAATTTTACACAGAAGGAGGAGAAAGATTCATTTGAGCATGACAATTGATTGTAGCCCAGTGTGCCATTTCTGTGCTTTCCTGCACAACGACTGGTACAGAGTATATGGCATTAGGATCTTCTGTTAGTGATAATGAGAGACAAATGACATCAGTTGTTTTTTGTCAGATCAGCTTGCTGTCAAAATTAGATCCTATTAGTTGAACAGCCAGCATGAATCGTGTGCTGTGCATTGGGCCAGAGATGCTCAACGGATCTTTATTGTATAACTTTGAACATGAAGATATTTAAAATTTCTATTTGCACTGATTCCAACCCATATGTACTTGGATTATATAGAGATCTAAATTAAAATGGGTAAAGAAACTAATTTAGACTTATTTCTTATATTCCATTTCCTTCTCACTTTTCTTTTTATCGTAAATTGTGATCAATGTATCCCCCCCTTGAATTGTTGTTTGAAAGCTTACAAGAAAAAATATTAAATGTATTAATATTCATTAGGAAAATGTTCCAACATGTTTAATTGAATGTTAATTTTATCCTTCCACAGTGGAACATCTCTGATTAAGCATCCCACCCCTCAAATTACAGCAGTTTCCACTCTGTTAAGCAGTGATGATTTCTGATGATGTTTGCATTAATATTCAGAAGAGCTGTGCACCTCACAAAATTGAAGAAATAATCCCAAAAGATTCCTCACAGTTAAAACTCATCCTGACTCTTCTGTCCCATGTCCATCACACTCACCATTATAGAGGAGGTCCCTTGGGAAAAAGATAACTGCCCAATTCTGTGTTTGTACAGAGAGATTTTATAAAGAGAAAAGTCCCTTATCTCTGTATGATGACTGTTCTGACTTTTCAAGTGTGTAGTATATGATGATTAACAGGTTTCTTGGCCCCAAATGAGCTGCTGAAGATATTCTAAAGAATCAAATGCAAAAAGGTAAAGGTTTGTAAAACTTTCTGCCTTATGCGGTTAGCAAAATTCACTTCTTAATGCTCCTAGGCCTCAGATTTATGCTGTGTTATTTTATCCTCCAGGATTGTAAAAATTCAGTATAAATACGGGAGGAAGCAAAGAGTGCTGCTTAACAGGGCACCATGCTCAGAAGACTTCTCTTGGTGATTCTTTGATTCTATGATTCTATTCTATTTGCAACTACTGCTGAGAGTATTGCATAGTATTGCATGTCTGTCACATAATCTGATATGTCTGATGCAATTCTTGCAATGTAGCTTTGTGGAACTACCTACATGTCAGTACATTCTGTTCATTGCTTAATTTATTTAATATTCAATAGATGTCAGTTGTATTCAAATCTGTTTAGTGCTGTGGTATTTCTTTTTGATTGAGGGTGAAGCATTTGTTAGCTGCTTTTTTGTCTAAGCCAACGATACGGTAAATATACAAGGTAGTTAGGCTGCAAAGTGGGGGTATTGAGTTTATATGCTCCAAGTCATTTCTGCTGCCAGAGCTGATGCTATCAAATATTACATCAAGGAAGCAGTATGCCTTCTCCTCATGGTGCTAGGGTAGTTTTGTTGATGAGATAGGCTCAATTAAAAAAAAAAAAAAAAAAGACAAGAAAAAAAAAATAGCCATGTGCATGTTAAGATTAGATTATTTGCTACTGTTTTATTTCTGCACAGTCCAGATGGATACTCAAATTTTTTGTCTGATGTTATATGGAAGAAATCTCAATTATCCATCTAGAAGTGACACTTGAACATGCTTTCACCATTTAAATGGTGCTTTGAAACTGTATTAAATGCCTTTTTCTACGTTATCCCAGAATGCAGTACTCTTTGAATTCAAAACAATTTTGCAGACTTCGTTGTTACAGAGAAGACTAATTTTCTTTCAGTCTTGCTAAAGAAGGAGCTCTGCCTTTTTTTATCAAGCATTAAAACAAGTAACTTGTCTCCTTGCTTGCTGACTCAGTTGGAGAACAATTTAGTAGCTGACGGAGGATAAAATGAGGCATGCTGGAACATAACAGTAATTGTAGAGTTTCTACTTTCCAGAGAAATTTAAGTGAGAAGAGACAGCCAGATCATTCAGACTGACATCCTGGATAAACTGTTAAATATTATGGAAGTACATCACAGAAGTTGTGGAAACTTCATTTATAGAGTTGCTCTTAGATAATAAATCAAAGAAATAAACATAAACCTGAAAAAAATAAAATACAAATCTGAAATGATGCATTTGATTCAAGACTGCTTCAAGAGAAATATGAATATGTTAGTTTGCATATACACTTTAGTGCATGAAATGCTTCTGTTCTGTTTTTCATATACAAAACTTTTTACTGAATGGATTCCAAAGAGTATTTAATAAAATACTTTTCCCTACCAATGTATTCTTTTGGTGATGAGACAGTCAGAGGATAGAAAAGAGCCTGAATTCTGAACAGTGTTTCCTGGAGTATTTTGTGCTCTCAACCAAACATGTTGTGTTTTTTTTCACAAGCTGGGCCAAGATTGGATACCAGGGGAAATGTTGACTCAGTCAGTCCATTAATGAAGAAGTTTCCATGAGATACAAGTTAGTGTTACAAGAAACTACAGGGCAGCATTAGACTGATGTAAACAGTTTAAATTTTTGTATTTCCAGAAACGTATTCATCTCCTCTTTCATCAGTTGTAATTTTAATCATTAATATACAACAAAACTGATGGTATGTCAAACTTTTGGACAACTATGCATTCTGTTGATGATAAATGTGGAAATAACCATAACAGTCCCAGTAGTACTAAGAAAAACAATGAATATTTCATTTAAAGACAGTATTATTACATACTGACAAATGATAGAAATTTCAATGTCTCTTCTGTATGAACCATGGGAAGGACATTTCAATTTTTCCCTTGCAAAAGATTTAATGCTGCTATGGTTCTAATACATGAAAATAAGTAAAACACAAGAAAATCCAGCATGAATCAAAGTGGTACAGTAACTTTCATCATATAACTTTTATATGTAACTGTCATGTCTAAGAGTTGGATTGGCTTCTAGATAGTGTGTGTACATGGAGAAAAAAGGTTTAGATGTTCAACCTATACATAAGCATTTTAATGATATTTTCTCCTGAAGATTTCAGTTATTTTAAATCCACAGTCCAATTTTCACTAGCTTTATAATTTAAACCTCCAATATACAAAGGAAAATGTGTAATCTCTGTAGTGAGTACTATGATAAGATTATATGTGGGTTCTTGCACTGTGCTGAGCAATCTGATTTCAACAAAGTTGTGGAACTAAAAATAAAGTTACTCAGTTGCACCTTAATGCATGATCCTGTGCAGGAATGAATCTCTCTAAGTCTCTCAGATACCTACTCATTGCCTGAAGGCGTTCTAGGCAAATGTTTCTAGCCTGCTATATCTGAAGCTGTTCAACTTGCCTAAACTCAAACAGATTCAGTGACAGCTGAAGGAACTCAGTAGTTCTTAGGCACAAACCCAAAATTTCAACCCCTCTGTGGGCAGATGAGGTTTGCTTTGTCTGATGCTCTATAATTGATTTTAATTCCTAGTTTAAATTCAGAGTGTAACTTCAGTAATGATTATTTCTTTTGCAATTGCCAGCAACTGTGATTTTGGTGACAACAACTCATTAAAAAAGAAAAAAAGCCTTCTTTTTTGCTGGAGACTTACTTCCAGATGTTTTGAGGCAAACACAAAAGAGAAGGCTCATTTTTAGAGAACAGAGGCTGAAATTTTCTTCTCACATCTCAGTGCCTGTGATTATGCTAGGAGAAATACCATATTAGAAGGCTCTGTATTTTACATCTTTAATTATTTTCATGAAGTACAATCAATCCTTGACTATAACTGTTCTTGCTTCCACAGGAAAAGGCACACCACAGATGGAGTTTGAGCTTTGGGAAATGTATCTAAACTTATTTTATTTCCTTTACAAATCCTACTAATCAAATTGGGTTAGATTCCTCTGATACTGTCTTTGGTGAATTTTTTTGTATATTCTGCTAAGAAGGTGCTAACTTGCTGGAAAACGTAGAATCCATCTTGTCTAATGTAGGCCATCTAAAACAGAAGTATATTTTCCTTTGTATTTTGCAAAGAATATGGTTCAGGTGCAAATCAGTGAGAAACTTCCTTCTCAATCTGTCAAGCACTGAGAAGAGTCGCTGAGAGTCTGGATGGCATCAGCTTGATGAGAAGTTAGCTAAAAGACAAATTATGAGAGACCAGAAATTGTCATAAGTCTCTGAGCCATTGATATTTGGTCATAACTGAGTCATAACAGTAGGGAACCAGAAGGTTTCATGGCCATTTATCAACCAAGAAAAAAACTGTTTTTGACATGGCAGAACTGCCCTGAGCAGGCAAAAGCACCTTCAACTGCTCTGGTTCCCTGACTCCTTCAGTAGTGACTGCTATTGTATTTGTTCTGTTCTGCCATGGCAAAGGGATGCTACTGTTGCTTAGTATTTTTGCCTTTGATTTTGTCAGGAAAACCTTTGCCTTCAATTTTGTAGATCCCAATTTATGAAGGTAACCTTTCCTTTATCTTTTGTAGGTGGAAGATGCATTGAGTGAGGCAGATTTTCAGCTCAAGTTGGACTTGCATTTTACTGATAGTGAACAACAGTAAGTGCTGTTTTAAAGCTCACTTGGTAATACAAAGGTTTCCTCATTTGGAAAATGGCTTCAATGAAGTGAGAGTTCTTTTCGAAAGAAGGGCTTTGAAAAGAAGGGCTTTTGTCTTTCATTTGCCTTAATGTCTTTCCGTTTTTCCTCTCTGTGTTTGAAGAGTGTATCTCATAGTCCTCTTCTAAAGAACATTTTTATTTTTAAGTGTGTGTTAAATGCTGCTCTATTTCTTCTTGCTAATAAAGTCAAAGGAAAATATTATTGACCTCCAAGAGGGCCTGGGGTTGAGGAATGCATTTATCTCAGGAGTCAACCAAGTGGCTGAAGATGAATATATGAACATGTTAAGTGCTTTTATGTGTGGAAGCCAAAGAGGTCTCAATATTTTAGGAGGAGAGAGTCTTGACTTTGATTTCCTCCCAAAATCTTGAAGAAGTGGAAATAGCATCCATTTTTGAGACATAGCAGTAGATGTGATCTCAGAACTTATTAAATCTTGCTGAATGACAGAAAACGCTTCTGATTACTTCAGCAAATGTGTTTCATGTGTTTGCATTCATATCCATAAAACACCTTAAAAAATTACAAGTCACGTTTCCTTTATCTTGAAGATAGAAGAAGTGAGACCTTATTCTCTCAGGCAGGTGGGACCATCAATCATCAACTGCGATGATGATGGGTTTAGGAGGGAGGAAAACCAAACATAAATGAAAGCCAGGAATAAGAAGAAATGAAAGTTTCAGATTCTTAGGAATTTGTGGCTTAATACATATGTTTAATATCTGCTATCATCTTAATGAATTGTCTGGTATGCTTTAAACAAAAGTAATGATATTTACAGAAAGATATTCTGCAAATCTTACTGGAATTTCCTGGGACTAGCCATACACTATACTTACCTAACTCATTATGAGTTTATGCAACACTGGAAAGCAATTTTCTTGTATCAGAAGTGTATTTAATGCTGTAAAATAAACTTTTTTAGGAATGAATTGCAGTTTAGGAGAATGGGGTTAGGCATGATCCCAGTCTATTTCATTTTCCTGCTTTAGAAGTGATTTTGATACTGTGTTGACTGCATACCAGAAAAATTATTCTAGAATAGTCATAAGCAACATCTATTTGAAAATTTTTATTTGTATTTTCTGAAAATAGAAGAACCCAATCCTAACTGTATTGTTTCTCTGTGGTTACTTCACTTACTCCTTTGTTTGACCTCCTCCAAAAAGTTTTTCACATCAGCTATGTAGAAAGATACTCCAAGTAGTGGTGTTCCCCAAGGATCGGTGTTGACTCTGATCTTGTTCAGTATCTTTGCTGATGACCTGGATGAGAGAATAGAATCAACCCTCAGCAAATTTGTTGATGCTACAAAGCTGGGAGGAGTAGCTGACACACCAGAAGGCTGTGCAAAATTCAGCAAAATCTAGACAGACTGGAGAGTTGGACAGAGAGGAACCTGATGAGATTCAACGAGAGCAGGTGTAGTACATTTCTGGGGAGGAATAACCACATCCATCAGTACGTGTTAGGGACTCACCTGCTGGAAAGCAGCTTTGTGGAAAAGAGTCAGGGTGTCCTGGTGGACAACAGGTTGGCCATGAACCAGAAGTGCACTGTTGTGGCTGAGAAAGCCAGTGGTATCCTGGGGTGCATTAAGAAGAGTGTGAGAGAGTTCAAAAAATATAGGGAACTTCTAGAAAGAGTCCAGTGGAGGGCCACAAAGATTATTAGGGGCCTGTAACCTCTCCCTTATGAGAAAAGGATGAGAGAGACGGGAATGTTCAGCCTGGAGAAGAGAAGTCTCAGGGAAGATCTTATCAATGCTTATAAATATCTACAGGGCAGGAATCAAGTAGGTGGGGACAGGCTCTTTTTAGTGGTGCTCAGCTTCAGAACAAAGAGCATTGGGCACAAACTGGAACACAGAAAGTTCCATATGGACATGAGGAAAAACTTTTTTACTTTGAGGATGACAGAACGCTAGAACAGGCTGCCCAGAAAGGCTGTGGACTCTCCTCTGGAAATACTCAAAATCTATCTGGTTACTTTCCCATGTACCCTGCTATAGGGAATCTGCTATGAGATGGATTATGGTCTCCAGAGGTCCCTTCCAAACCCTACAGTTCCATGATTCTGTGATTTTGTGACTATGTCCTGCTCTCTCTGACATAGGACTGCTTCTACCTCTCACAGGCTGCCTGATGAAAAATAGATTATTTTTGCATTGAAAACTACAATTAGTGATCTATCCTGGCTTTGAACATTCAAATAAGCTGAGCACTTTTCTACCTGCCTGTTACTTTTTATTAACACTGGATGAGTCCAGAACTGGTATATGAGTGGACAGCAAGGATAATCACCAAGAGAAATTGGATCTGCATCATATATATTTCTCTTATGTACATCATGTTTCTATTTGTTACATTTGTGATTACACTAGGTAGAAGTATAACATAAGATGCTCATCAGTTATGTAAATCCTTTTGAAGCTGTGAATTTTACCAGGAAGTAATAAAAATTCAGCTCAGGCCATCTCCCAGTCTGCTACTTGTAGCATGTTAAAGGCTGTGACAACTCAAGCTTTCACTAATCCTTGTAAACTGCCTTCTTTTCTAGGCTGAGAGATGTTCCAGCCATCCCCATGATCAGCAGCCGTACACTGTGTCTTCACTTCCACCCCCAGAGAGGTCTGCACCACCATGTTCCTGTCATGTTTGACTATTTCCACCTGTCAGTGATATCCGTCACGGTGCATGCGTCACTGGTAGCATTACACCAGCCTCTGATCAGGTAAAGGATTCAGAAATGTCTCTTGAAAGACAGAAGAGATCTCTCTTCTGAATACATTTCCTTATTGTGTGGAAGAAGTGGAAACTATAATTTATTTTCAAGTTTTTTTAGATCTAGGCTAGGCTTCTAGAGATTGGGGATTAGTTTCAGATTCTGACATAAGCTTCTTCCCTTGGTAAGACATTCAGGATCTGACCAAAAACTATCAGTCTGCAGAAATTTCAGAGACTTGATCTCTTTATTCTCCACCTGTAACGCTAGTGAAATTTCTCTTCTCCTTGTCTGTCTTTTCTCTTGAGTCAAAAAGCACCTGAGAACATTAACATTTTTTTCACTTACTTTGTAAAGCATTTAGGACAGTAGGTCTCTAATCTCATTTCTGGCCTCTGGGCATTAGCATAATTCATAAAAAGGCTGGAAGGAAGTATGCATGAATCAGTACTTGATAAGCCTTTTGTTGAAGTTTTACCTTGCATCTGATTTGATTGTGCAGCAGTGTAACACTAGGTGCCACGGTGTGATTTGTGTTTTCTGATTCATAATGACAAGAAAGTAGTTCAGAACTCCTTCAAATAAAACAGGACTAGGGGTCAATATCCTCTACTACTTAGAGCAGGTGAGGAGAAGCAAATGTCTTTAAGGCAATTTACTTTCTGTCCAGTCTGGTCATCACAGAAGATAAGAGTGCTGAGAGGAAGAGAGTTCTTTGGGCTCTGGAACAAAATGCGGTGTTCAGCACCGTTCAATTTTTTTATTCTAGCAAGCCTTGCTGTATGCCAAATGTCTACTGAGTTTGTCAAAGACTGTGCAATCTAGACTAGACTCACTTTTTTTCTCAGGTTTCCTGTTTTGACTTAATGTGTCTTTTCTTGTTTCTTCCTTTGTGTAAATGCATGGTGTGTACTTGGTGGCATACAATGAATTATGGTTATAAAAGGTTGAGCGGTGACAGCAATGTGAGTTGCATTAGCACATAAGACCAACAGATCTGTCTTTTCTTCCTCCACTGAGGTGCAGGTAACTCCTGATATTTCCTCGTTGGTACATGTAGATATTTAAAGTAGTGAATTGAATTGTATCAGACTACTCCTAACCGGATCATTTTGCTCAGATAATTTATCCATTGTTCTACTATACAAAAGAATGGAAGAGCCATAGTTATCAGGCTTTAATTACTGTTTTCAGTGCTTTGTTATACTCTAATAAATGGAACTACAGAGAGTTGTTACAGCTATTAGGCATAAATCCCATAATAAGCAACTGCTCTACAGTCATATTATTATAGCTTTTAGAATATAATTTTGTGGACATTTATGAAATATACAATATTTTTACTTAATGTAATGGAATGAAGGTTTTGACAACACAATATAGAGTTTCATTTGCTTAAGCCAGTAAAATTGCTTTAAAGTGTGGTACTGAGGATTTGTCTTATTCTTGATAAATATTCAAAGTATAAAGAGTTCTTATATCATGCATTCTCTACATATAAATCAGATTGAAGTCAATAGTATGAAAGAAATGTCACTGTGAAACATTTTGAAACAAAACCAATCCAATAAAACTTATTTTCTCTTCTCCCAGCTCTAAGCTTACTTGCTTAGCACTTGTCATTGGAGCTTACTGAGACCATGGAACTAAAGGTTTAATTTTAAAAGCACATTTTTATTTGCAATGCAACAGAAAGACCCTGAATGATTGGAAAGTCTTTTTTGTCACATTATAGTAAAAATAAAATTGTTATATTGCCTGGGAAAGACATAAATGCTGCATTTTACTATGTTTTATTTTACTGCCTTAAACTGTTCTATCGTAATATTTTACACATTTGTATACTTTATTTCTACACATATTTGTATTCTTATATCTATTACAACAAGGATTCTTGTTAGATATACTCTGGGGAAAAAAAAAAAAAAGAAAAAAAAAAAAAAACACCCTCACATATTATTTGGAATTAAAATTTACTTCTGTTTTGACATTATCCTGGAGAACAACTTTGCCTGAAATAGCTGTCTGCTCACATACTCCCTATGGGCTCAGATTTTTGTATTTCTTAGATCTGTTGGCTAATTAGATACTCCAAATCCTTCCCATATGCCTGCATTTAAATAGTAGAGAAAGCAGTAGGATTGATTCTAGCCTTTCCCTGTTGAGTAATGCTCACAAACAAAAAGTTCCAGCAGATCAAACCTAATTTTTAGAAAATGAATATTTTGATACCAATGTTTGTCCTGGTTAATAATTTCTTATACAGTAAATATTATTATTAGGTTTGATACTTTGAAGCCTTCATCTCTTATAGATCTGAGAATAAGTGAAATTCTGGATTCAGTGATTTTTTGCAGGAGTCTGGATGGAAAATCTATGACCCAGCTTTTCCCATAGGCATAACCTTCAGGTTTGTAATGGGGTGTTGGCATCTAATAATGGCTTTATGCATTTACTGATTGAGACCTGGCAGCCTAGATCAGGAGGTGAGGAAGGCTTCCAGTCAACTCAGATTGCCCAGCTATGTGGTGGATATCCTATCCCTGGAGGCATTCAAGGTCAGTCTGGATGGGATGACCAGGAGCATGTTGGGATGCTCGTGTTCTTGAATCAGTTCCTCTTGAGGCTCCTTGGACAGCCTAATCCCTCTGAAGCACTGCTACAGAGAGGGGTCTGGACAGCAGGGAAGGGGCAGGGAAACTTTGACTTGTCCTTACAGAGCACAGAGCCATAGCTTGATTAAAAATTCCCACTTCAGGCTCCTCTGACTTTTCTAAAATGCACCCCAGAAGTGGTTGGGGAAGCTGGACCACTTTGAACTGTGTCCAAAATTAGGCATGCTTCATGCTCAGTTTCTTTCTTAAGTAGGACTCTTTTAGGACACACACAGACAGAAGCATGTTATGTGCTTCATTAATTCCAAAGACCTTTGGACCACTCCTTCCCAAAAGGAGTTGGCATACTATACTGTTTGTTAGAAAAAATACAGCTTGTGAATAATCTCTGAAACAAGTGCCAACATTCTGTAAGTGCTGAAATCAAGATCTGTACACTGATATTTTAGTGCCCTGAGCTTGCTGCTGTGGGAATAAGAAGCAGAATCAAAGGAACACTGGGTATTTAAAGGTTTCAGTCCTGACCTAATTTGTCTCAGCTCTACTGCACTGAGGAATCAGGACAGCCCTGGCCATCCTCGAGTGATTTTATCTTACCTAAATCCTTTTATGCCCTGTTCCTCAAAACCACCACCAGTGACATATCTGTGTGATATACACACTATCTCTATACCTTCCTGTGCACCTTGAATCTGGGTGCTGGGTCAATTTTCCTACAATCCTGAGTGTAACTGGCTCCTACTTATGGGCAGCTTATGTCTGAAACTGCCACAGAATTAATCCTGGGTAGCAAAGGTTATGACTTACTTTTCCTCTCCCTCATTTGGAAATAATGTAATCTGTAGAAAGAAAACTGAGTATTTATGTGGGAAAGAAATATTCCTTCCATAAAATGTTTATTAAAAAAATGCTGTTCCATTTTTTTTTTTTCTCTAAGAATTCTTGAATAATTGCTGGATTATTCTGTGTATTTTCTTTTTATTTGTTGCTATTTGTTTTACACCTGCAGTGGTGAACCTCTGTTTTGACATGCTATTCTCCTGACCTACAAACCAAGAAATCACACAAGAAAAAATTATTTATGGGTCAAACTCTAATTAAAAACAAACAAACATTAATAATTGTTACCATCTGTCTTTGTCTGATTTCAAATTTTATAGCAAGATAAGCTATGTTCAGGGAAACTTAACCAGTATTTTCCAGCAATCAGAATCACTACAGATTGCAATCTGGATTCCACCCTGACTCTGTTTGGGATCTAGGGAGAACTTTTTTTTTCTGTTAAAAATGCTGTTTTAATAATTCTTAAGAGTCTTACTCAAGAAGCTCAAAGCATTTTACAATCATTCATTATAACCTTAGTGAAAATCCTTGTGTAAGGGGGAGTCTAGGAGAACACAACCTGTAAATATCCACCTATTATTCTAAAAATATAAGTAAGTTTCCATACTGAACTTCCATTCTGGAAATGTCATAAGACTGTCATTTCTTGTAATTGGAAATGTGAGGGTTTTGTTGTTGTTTGATTTGTCTTGTTTTACTTTGTATTTTTATAGTTTTACTTTTTCATATAATGTATGATCATTTTTTGCAAATAAGATTCAGAGTCCAATCTGTTACCATTTTCCCCCAATTCTAATGAAAGCTACAACTTGTGAAGAACTTACATTTTGCTTACCAAAGAAAAAAAATTTTCAACTTGAAAATATGAATGAAAAATTTAAAAATATCACTTAACTTTGTATTAGTTTAATGGAGAAGGGAATATTTTATTTTATTAAAGTATCCTCAAGCATTTATTCTGAATTACTTCAGTAACACATCTGAATTAATATTTATCAATAACAATCTATTTATTGTGCTAAGGAACTGTTATCTTATTTATATGTTAAATAATAGTCCACCAAAGATAAAACCTAAGAAATGACTACTTAATACGTTGTGCAGTGCAAGAACTAGAAGATGCCACATTCAATTCTGCAACAGCAGGTTGAAAATGAACAGAATGTCTAGCACATATTACAATATGCAGTTATGTCCATAAGATTCTGTACAGGCTAAAACTATAAATTGGAAGGCATGGACTCAAAGTCATGTAAAATAACCATGACTGCAGAAATAATTGCATAAATATAACCTCAAAGTCAGAAAGTTCTTCCCAAAATGTCATTCAAGGGTGGTGCAAAGCCTTCTTTTTTTTTCAGTTTAAACCTCCAAATGACCAAAACTGTCAGTTACATCTTCCACAGGAAGGGAGCATAGGGACAGCAACAGGAGTGACAACAACAGGACTCAAGGAGATGACATGGAGCTGTGTCAGGGAAGGATCTGGTAGGGCTAGGGAAAGGTTCTTCATCCGAGGGTGCTGGGCATGGAACAGCAGTGGGGCTGATGGAATTCAAGGAGTGGTTGGACAATGCTGTTAGATACAGAGTTTGATTTTTGAGTGATCCTCTGCTGAACCAGAAATTGGAGTGAATAATCCATGTAAGTCCCTTCCAACTCAGAATATTCTGTCATTCTCTGATTCTATGATTACGTGCTTCAGAAGGCACTAGGGGAACCTCAACAATCTGTAAGACATCCAGTTAAACTTTGCCTCTACAGTCAGATGACATTTTGGCAGGTTTCCCAAAAAAGGTTTCTGTTTTACAGTGCTTTGTGAAGTCAATTTCCATAAAACCAGCAGATTAAAATCCCTTCTCAGCTGTAAAAGCAAAAGATAAATAAATAAAAAAGCATTAAAAAGTGCTTTTCTCTCCCTTAAAACCTTTGAAAGCTTTGCTAATATTCAAATGAGTTTTTCATGGGTAGGCGACGTTTATTTAAGCTTCTCTCTGTTACCACAGCAATCATTTTTTATTTCTGCTTCTTGAGCCTTTCCAACAGACCAGAGCAGACATCACCATCCAATAACAGCTGAAATTATTCAGTGCACCGTTTATCTTTTGGTTCTTTTTAATTGCTTTATTTTATTTATTTGTTTCTTAAATGTAAGGAAAGACTTCCTGCTGCTTGGAAGCAGCAAGCTAGCAATTTGTTGGATTGCATCAATTAATACACATTAACAAGGCCAGATAGATGCAAAGACTTTCTATACCATCCTCCCCCTCATGGAACGTTCTTTTTGCTAGTATATGGCTAGTATGGGATATACAAAAAACAGCAGCTTAGAGAGGAAGTGGGAATTTGTGATTAGCCTGAAATTTTTCAGTTTTCCTGATTTTACTTGAAATTTGTTTTCTATTGTTGCATATTACTGAGTGTTCCTGCACATCAGAACCTCATCTATTATTTGGGTGATAACAAGTATTTCTACTCCTCTCTTTTGTCTTGTCTTAGCATAAACACCCTCCCCTTGCTGGTAACAGTGATAGGACGAGAGGCTTTGAGTTGTGCCAGAGGAGGTTCATGTTGCATATTAGGAAATATTTCTTCTGAGAAAGAGTAGTGAGGCATTGGAACAGGCTGCCCAGGGAGGTGACACCCCTAGAGTCACCATCTCTGGGGATGTTCAAGAAAAGAATAGATGTGACACAGAGATGTAGTGAGCATGATGGGGATGAGTTGGTGGTTGGACTACATGATTTTAGAGATCCTTTCCAACCTTAATGGTTCTATGATTCTGTGATTCTTTCATTTGTCCTGTGTTTCTGTAATGCAGTCAGTGCTCTAGCCTATCCTTAAAAACTGAATAAAGTGTAGAGATACATGAATTATGGCTGATCTGAACCGACATAGCCTCATGATAAACACTGAGTTAGGGGCATATGCTCAAATTGGAAAGTTTTGGCAGAGTAAATGCTATTGTCCTGTGGCCTTTGTTACTTTCAGTTTATAGCTGGAAAGTGTTTTTTTTGTGCTACTCCTCGCAGGAGGTAATTTGGGATATGTGGGTGGGAAGCATCATTTGATGGTGAGTGGTGATCCTGGTCTGAAAGCACAAGCTCAGTGACACTACATCTGCACTGAGTATGAACAGCAAATGTGATGGGATTTTTTTCTTCTGAGCAATTAATTATTTCAATTCCACCTTTACCTGTGTGCTTTTTAAGATCAACTGTGGTAGCTTGCATTAGTTTTTAGACTCAGATTTTTTTTTTTTTTTTCTCAATGTATTCTCCATGAGTAGCCTTATTTCTCTCCAAATCTTGATGTAGTTTATGCACAGCACATACTAGCTGCATTTATATCACCTAATTTTAGTTGTTTATAAGGCAGTCATCCTTACCTCTCTTTATAGTCCACAATAACAACTAAGTGCTTTGGGAATGAAGTTCATCTGACCTCTTTGATAGGACCACTTCAGAAAGAGATGACTCACACCCTGGATATGCCCATTCCTCTCCAGCCTACATCATTAGTGGAGGTGTAGACATTTGGTCAGATTAATCCAGAGTAAGTTCCCTAGTTATTCATCAGGACTCCAGTGGTTACAGGGCTGAACAGACTCCAGGCATGGTTTTTCATTATTAAGAAATTCATCCTATAAGACAGGAAACATATACAATTCAAACAAGAAGAGTGATATGATTAACACCAGAAAAATGCTTCATGAATCAAAATGCAAGCTGATGAATAGTTGTATGAGACCATTATCTATGTAGATAAATGAAAAGGTTGTCCTGTTGAGATGTTAGGCTGGAAAAAGGCATGTAAGAGAGCAGAGGAAGGACTGAAGGAAAAATAACATCCAACCCATTGGACTGAATGCCAAGAAAGAAAGCCCCATTCACATAGTTTTAGCTAGTGCATATTGAACAGTGTTCATTTAATAAGGGAAACATGGTGTCTGGATTTATGACATTGATTGGAAATAAATAGCCAAATAAATAAATACTGCAAGTATTTTCTTCACAAGGGAGGAAAAGTCTCTTCTTTAACAAAACTGCTCTGATTATTTTTCTTATTTTTTCTTCATTTAGTTTTGCTCGTCCAGGGAAAGGTTCATGGCTTGGTAAAGGCAACTTGGATACAGGACCAGACCAATCCAGTATGTCATTAGAAAATCTTGTGTTTGGAGCAGGCTACTGCAAACCCACTTCATCAGAGGTAAGAAGGGTGGACAATAATACTTCACTTCTATTTGGTCACACAAAATGTTCACTTTGTATTGAAAGAATATGCTCTGGTTTATGTCACTAATATAGGGAGTTCTTTTGAAGAATCTTTCATTTCTCTAGAACTACCTGGCATTTGCGTTCACAGCTACTGGGTGCTCAGACCACTCTCAGAAAAGTTCAGGAAGAATGGATATTCCTCTGATTATCAATTAACTTTCAGGGTTGCGTTCACTTGACCAGATGTCTGCTTTAGGGTGAAATTAATTATTCAGTAAAAGATCCTTGTTTTCAGATCTTATATTTACCAACCAGAGGCCTTGCATAGTTACTGATAGTGTTGTGATTAGCAGCAGGCCAAAGCTGGTGGCAAGAAGGAACTTGGAAGGGCTTGTGTCTGAAATACTGAGGAATGAGTACTGTGTGTGTATGTTGTTGAAGGGGTGTTATGTACCTTGCCTTACTTGAGGCAGGTCCCATAGTTAGCGCATGCCTTTGATCTTGCTATTTACTGTAGATGATGAACAGAGATTATTGTGCAGCTTTTAGAATGAAGTGATCTGTTTGAAATAATGAATAATTGGATTTTGTTTGTTTGCTTGTTTAGCAGGAAAGTGCTAGCTTTGTAGTGTTTTGCTTGTTTAATGTTTTTGTCAAAAATATTTTAGCAAATCTAGAGCCTCAACCTAGAACACTGGAATCATCTCATTGTTAGGAAACCTAGATTCAAGGGTTCTGATTATAATGCTGCCCTCAACTTCTATCAAACTTTCTGTCGAAAGTATTTTCTTCTACCTAAATATTAATAATATAATAACCTCGGGCAGTTGCTGCAGGAAAACTGTCAGGGAATTAACACAAACTGAGAGAATGTTTGGCCTGAGGCTGCTGTTGGAGCTGTTGGGTCACTGTATGCTACTGACAAAGAAATTGACCTCTGCTTCTCTAGTAGACAGTCCCAAGATATAAATTTAAATAACTGTTTATCATAAAAAACTAATCCCTGTATGTCTGTACATAAGAAGAGAGAGGCTTATTTGGAGAACGGTTCTTACTTTTCATTATCCTCTGGAAAAATCTCTGTTTTAAGAAGATAAATGTAAAGGCTGACTACCAACTCCTATTTTTCATTTCATTTTTTGCAGAAAAATCTCTGTTGTTGATTAGGAAATTTTATTTCCTTACCAAATATTTGCCTCAGGTGCAAACCCTATTTTCTATCCACTTTGACTAATCTTCTTTGATTGCAGACCTTCTTTCCTTTTTTTTTTTTTTTTTTTTTTTTTTTTTTTTTTTTTTTTTTTTTTAATGACAGCATAATTACTGTCCTAGTAGGTGACCTGTCAAGTACTCTATCATGAATAGGCTTTAGCTCTCTGCTATGCTGCAGGTCAACTGAGCATCAAACTGATCAATTAAAAATATAATGTCTGCATGTCCAGGTGTGCATTTGCTTAGCTTGAGAAACCTATATAAGTCATGACATCTGTTCTTGATCTGAATATTTTAACTTAATAGACTGTGATGGCCTATGTCTATGGATTTTGCATATGCTATACATGATTTATGATAATAAGTGAAGATTACATCTCTTAGTGTAATGTAAAAAGTACAAATTAAGAGCTAGGAAAGGAACTACTCTGAGGAGCTAAGTCTCACATGAAGTGAGGACTTTATGACTAACTGCTGTTTTATGTTGAAGCTCATATCAAGCCATACCTAATTTAAAGAATGAGGAGTAATATTTCTCACAGTGCTGCAATGCTTTATACTGAATAGAATTTATATCCCTTTAAAAGTGTATAGATTCCCTTCAAGACTGTTTGGATGCATTTATAAAAGATAACTTCATCTGGACTATAGATGTGTCCAGCATTCGGGAATTATGCAATCATCTTCAGTTGTCATGAGAATAGATCCTTATTAGACAAAAATCACAGACTTTTCTATTCCTCTTTATACATTCTTGATTGGACATTGTCTGTTTCATGTCCAAGTCAGTAATTCTTAGATACCTTAGCTCAAGATATACCACTTCATTTTTTCTTTAGTTGTAAGGAACTATGGTTTGATACAACCAGTTAAAGTCTAGGCTATAACAATCAGCATATCTTCTCTTCTAAGACAAACAAGCACTTTATTGAGCAGCAGGGCGTGGAAAAATCCCTGCTGTTTTGAATGGTAAGGAGATTTCAGATAATTCTTTTTTTATGGCATATAATGCAGGAAAACTGTTTGTTTTGGAATATGCCAGATTTCATGTTTTGTTTCGTTTTTGTTTTCATCTCCATAATCAATTCTGCTGATTGTGTGCATTTCTGTGTTGTTCTTGATCTGAGAAGTCTCTGGTTCTATGACCTTAAGAGGCATCTGCTGGCCAAGTGTTTTCTTTCTGATGCTTATTGTACAGAACTGAATCTGCTGGTTCTCTGACATGCTGTGAACAATAGGGATTTTCTGATGTTTGAGGTCTATCTCTTGTCAGTAGACAAAAAAGAGCTTTACTCTCCACCATCTGCGGCACAATTAATATTCAAGAATACTTCCATGTGAGTGGAAGTTTGTAATGGGTAGGAGTTCTAAATCATTCTTATTGCACCCTCAGCCTCAAGACTGGGAGCTGTGTAGTTTAAAACCTTGGCAAGTGGGTACTTCAGTATCTCTGAAGCACTTATTAACTCAATAAAGTATCCAATTTCACAGGCTTCATAAATTCTCCACTATCGTGAAGCAGACTTGCTCACAAAAGTCAGTTTTCTTCTCATTAGTGTTATCATACTCAGTAGATGACTAGAGATATGGTTCAGACAGTACATGAACGTTTAGCTTCAGTAGCAGCTGCATTTACATTAGTGCTTGAGCTCTAAGAAAAGCTAGACTTGTTCTTAAAATCTGAATTTCATGCCTCCAAGCGCCTCCTATATATGAAGTATATGGTTCGTATCTTGATATATCATCTCTAGGTCATACAACCAGTTTTACCTTTTTGTTCCTCAAGAAACTCAATTTTACTCAGTTTGCTTTTTTTTTTTATTAAAAGTACACATTACTAGCTTCATTTCCAAAGAAGGTTCATATTTATCATCAGCTCCTCTCACCATTTACTATGTTAATCATCTGCATTCACACTGCTGAGGTACTACTGCTTTGTGATAGATCCTGAAGGCTCCTGGTTCGGCACTTCTGACTTATCCACATGGAGGCTAATTAAATGCCAGCAGCTCTGGACTGTACCTATGTGATTTTCCTAGCACTCCACAAGTGAATTCCAAACACCACTGACAGTATTATCCTCTCTCAGCTCAGCGGAAAAGTTATAGTAATTGAACCTCTCTAAGCCTTGTTATTCATTCATTCATTCATTCAGTCAGTCAGTCAGTCATTTATTTAGCTTTCCACTCTTGTCCTACATAGGAAACAGGGATCTTCCCTTCCTCCATCTCTTTGTCCATATCTCTCTAATATTTTCTCTCTTCCTGTACGCAGGGAGTTTCTTGAACCATGATGGAGGGTAGGACAAAGTTATTTTGTTTTAATTCTGTGCCATGCTTTTCCTTTCAAGAAAAGTTATGACACCAAGGCTATTTTTTGTTGATTCGTTCCTTTTGCTGTTAGATAAATGTGAAAGAAGATGCTTTTCTGGACAAAAGATCAGTAGCAAATAATCTGCAAAATAAGAAAATGTACTACTACTTTCTAAGGATCTCTTCTTATGAACTACGATCATATGGTGTATACATACCTTAAGAGGGGATTAAAAATATTCAAAAGGACCTGGAAGATGTTGTGGCATAAAGCAGACCCATGAACTGTGTGTAGCTGGTTTCTCTAAGGGCATCTCAGTTCCCATTGGTGACTGGTAAATTGTTTCTTCCCACGTTTAGGGTGTTGCTTTGGATATTTGGATGATGTTCGGATGTCTCAGAACATCACACAGACTTATGGTTTCATGTGATCTGAGCAGTCATAAAAACTAGACACAGAAAAATATCTGCAGATCTACATCTACATCTACAAAAGAATAAAAATAAAATGTTCCTTGCAGAACTGAAAATTACTGGACTAAAAACTGAAAACTAAATTGGCACTCACACTTCTGCAATTTTATACCTTACTCTCCATCGCACACCTCTTCCGTATTCACTTCTGTCAAGATGTTTTTATGACTTTGTAATATTGTGCATCACATGCCTGCTGCGTTATAATCAAGACATAATGCAGGTTATTAATAAGTTGTACTCACAATAATCTTATTTTCATTTGGCTATCAGTTGCACTGCAGATTAGTTGACTTGTAGGTAATCAAATTGATTAATCATGAGTTCCCACTAATAAGGCGTCAATGTCTGATGAGAAGTGTTCTTCTCCCACATAGCATTAATGTAGCTATCCCAGAAGACTTAAGTTTATGTCTGGATTAATACAAGAACTAGGAGTGTCATTTATATAGAATTACAGAGTTCTTTCCCAAAGACAATTTGCTGGTACTTTCTTCTTCCTAGCAATATATGAAAAAATGAGGTTATTTCAGTATAACACTGGAAACAAAACACCAAACCCCACGCTTTTATGTCACACAGAAGTCATTTGCAATTTGTTCTTATGTTCTTCTACTTGGTGCTATTAAATCGCTACATGTCACTTTTTCAGATCAAGGCAGGTTATAACCAGAGAATAACCCATGTAAGACCCATCATGGGAATTGCAGTGTGTCCTGAAAGCTCAGTTTATTTTCAAGAAGAGATGTATCTTATACTTTCCAATTCCTTCCATGCATAGGAACTATATTGTAGATTTTCCTTTTACATCTTTTTATATTTTTTCTCCTTAGCAACCATCTTCCTAGCTTGTTTCCCTTGCTCCTTTCCTCAGGGCATCATAAAATGATATGATATGAGAAAGACATAGAAAGGGAAAAGGAGAAGGAAGAAAATGGAAGGGAAGGGAGATCTCTCATGCTTTAGCATGCATTTTTAATGGGTAGTTTTAAAA